GGGGGGGGGGGGGGTTACTACAGTTTTTTAAGACATTCAAACATTAACAAAAAATAATTTAAATTCTGCGTGTAATAGTAAATTATCCGTTCGAGTAAACATAATATCACTTGAACTTCTGCTAAAACGTCCACTTTAAGCCTGTAATTCATAAACTAACAAGGAAACCGTTTTTGGTGTCCCCCTCTAATTTTGTTCACTTTGAAATATGTTATTCTTCATCGAAATCTAGGTGAGATGTTTCTTTTTTATCAGTGAAAAAATGATTTTAAGGAGTAAAATCAATCTCACAGTTCGACACCTCTAGTGCGACTTTTACAGTTCCGCATGTTTCTGGTTGAGATATTTAAATAAAACCAATTGGTGCATACTGCTCCAATGGAATTTGGTAATATTTCATTTTTTTAAGCTGTAGTGTAATTATGATGATCATTTCTTTCATCAAATTTTGCTTTGATTCATTAAGGTTTAGATGTAGTAATACTTTTGTACTTTTAAATAATAAATTGGAGAAGTAAAACAATGTTTTTGTTGTTTTGAACCAATCACAGCTCTGCGTCCGAATGCTGGTGCCTATATGAGGATCCAGCCTTTATATGTCGTCGTGTTTCAATTAAACTTGATTTGGTTCAAGCGAATTATATTTTTTGTATTAAAAGTATATATCTTTTTAATATAGCAGGAAGTTACTATGCTTGATCCATTATCCATATTGTTTGAGTGCGTTCGAACCTATACTCACATCTCACCGCCTACAATCGAAGTAGCGTGGGTAATTGTGGCAACAATTTATTTCTTTAGAAATATAGAACTCTCAGAAGTTTATATCTGGTACTCGCCTCTCTCAGAGCATAAAATCAAATAGGAATAAGAACAAGAAGAAGAATATGAAGTGGCTGCTGGTGGTCGATTGGGCTAAGCGAAAGACGGCCGCGTAGACATCCAGAGTTCAAGCCGCGAGAGTTCGCCTCGAATGGTCGTGAGCGACGTACGCTCTCTTTGTAGCTCCTGCATTTCTTCTTTTTTGCATCACAAAAGACTGTGGATAACCGTTATATTTGCATCAAAAGGTCTGCTTTTGGGCACCGTCCCAATATCGCGAAAATAAATAACAAAAGACAATCATAACAATCATTCCTGCCCAAAGTGCAAATACTAACTCTACAGTGTAGTGCTGTGTCTTTGTCGCGTACCGGGGTGCATGGCCCTATCGGGCGAAGTTGTGGACTTACACTGTTGCCACCATGGCATCTAACGACATTAATATGAAAGGTGAATTTAATGATAACAATAGTTCTCAGAATATAAAAGTAACGAATAGTGTTTCTTCAAAGAAGATAAGCACCCTGGAGAAAATGAAGGCACGAATACATTGTACAGCATAGTTTAGCAGGTAAAACCGCTACGGAAAAATATTACACAACGGCAATAGTGGCCGAGTCTTAGAACCAATCATAACTCAATATCACTGGAAAAACTTGATAAAAGTGCACTGGGAGAGTTCAATAAATTACTGTCACCGATAGCACCTAACCTCAACAGGACAAGAACACTAACTAGAGTAAGAAATAATAAAGAAATCCCAAACTATGGAACATCTACTGACAGATATAATGGCGTGAGCCGAATAGAACATCCAAAGCCATAAAGGTAACTGAGAAGATAATGACCAGAGACGATGGTATCAATCTGCATAGCAATCAATGTACCCTCCTTCAGAAAACACCATTATTATCATTAGATACAGCGGGAACATCTAGAGATAGGCTTCCGATGAATAACAAATAGCCAGAGGTTACACCTCATATAAGAAAACAACATGTAATAGGACTATATATGAATGCAGGTAACATGAGATTATTATCAGATAAAGAATACTCAAACCCTATAAATAAAATAGAAGACACCTACAAGAGGCGTATTAGACCACCATCTATGCATACCGTGACATGATTTTCTTCCTCAAACCGCCTCGTAGCAAGACGATCCGATCGCACCACAAATGTGAGGGACGAGACTCTAAAGTTTTCCCGGGAAAACCCAACGAGAAAATCGGTACAATATGAAAAGCCAAATGGGCGCCAGACGCAGCGTTGCGTCGCGTAACATACGAAACTCCCGAGAAAAATTAAGAGGACTCCGGCTAGTAGGAAGGAAACGGAAAGGTATGGTAGAGGGGCGGGGAACGCACAGGTGGTAAAGAAAGAAGATTGAGAAACCGCAAGATATTCAGTAACAAATAACAAGGGGGCCCTTTTATTGGGACTTATTAAAGTAACAATTAACAAATCAAATAACCTATGGCGAATATAAATAATCAGTAACACAATACCGCGCGAGACGAGGTTCCATACGGGACACGCGAACAAAATACGATAAGAACAAGTTTACACGATAGCTAAAAGGTCCTTGCGAGACACGTGAAACAAAGAGGAATAATTCGGCCTGTGATACGCGCTATTCCCGTGACCTACAGGTCTCGAGGCACGATGTGCCCTCGCGATACAATTCGTCGTTCGAAGAGAAGCGCAGGAATTCCGCT